GGTACATAATTAGAAACCCTTTCAGCATGTTCATTAGAGTTCCTTGGATGTAAAGCTGCTAAAATCGACCAAAGAAAGCATTTATTATCATAATTCTTTATATTTAAAACAGCATGTTTTGATTGAATACTTTTTGGTGTGGGGATATATGACTTTGGAGTTAGGGGTTTATACTTGTAAACGTGCAACTGCCAATATTTAGTATGGTCATATATCCATCCACTGCCTTGGGCTTGATATTTGTGTATGGAAGCATCAATCTTTAAAAGTGCATTTTCAATTTGAGGCTTTAAATCTCTCTTCTCAATAGTTAAGATAGTAAGGCTTCTAAAATCCGCAATACAATCTTTCTCATTAACTAATTTTCCATTTTGATCCATTGAATATTTTATAAATTTGATTCTCCTAACTAACGTCCATTTTATCGGCAGAGGACAAGACTTGAGATTATTTTCAAGTTCAGCTCTAATCGATTCACTAACAAATTTAATCATCGTGTATGGACATTTGTTGCAAGAATTTACATGTCTTCTAAAATGTCCAACAATATTTTTCTTACAAAAACTACAACTCTTGTGACTTTGTAATATATGTGATTTTAGAGCAATGTTACTATCACAGATTAAATTACAAACTTTACATACATTCATTTGATGAATTACCTTGTAGTGGCGAATCAGGTTACTTTTGGTGGAGAGCGACACAGAGCAGTGTTGACAGGTGGGCCTCATTTTTATATATAACAAAAAAAATTTGTGCCACTTCTATTTATAGACTTTTCGAAAATTTCAAAATTTTGGAAATTTTAAAAATTTTCAGCTAGAAATTGAAAATTACTTCAACAGATCCAAGACTAGCAAGGAGCAAGCCCAAGGGAGTGACATTTTCACCACGTCACCACTAGAGGCAAGAAGCAGGAGCCCGGAGCGTGCCCACGCCATGAGCCGAGTTCGTGTGCAAACCACGCACATACATGATTTTGAAATAGAAATATAATATATCAACTGGAAAGGGGAATGATAGATGTACTAGCAATTGTGCATGGGGCAGAGGGGAGTGGTGAGGGGGTGAGGGGTGAGGGGGGGAGGAGTTGGCCCAAAAACCTCGCACCACAAAAAACGGCACCGACAAACTATACTACTATACATATACACATGCATGGGTCAATAAATGAAATAATTAGTTTTTTTTTATTTTTTGCTTAATATCGAATATATTTATAGGGAATAACTAAGAAATAAGGTTTGACAATTTTATAGGGATATTTGGGCAAAGATCAGGATTTTTGGAATTGGTGGCCAAAAAATGATCCCCATAAGAATAACATGGGAAAAACGTGTCTAAAGTGAGGTAAAACCGGCAGTTCTCCACTACTGGCCATGCCGTTAGTAGGTGTTTGTTTATTGTATTTTAGCATCCTAGGTCCCTAGGTTCTAGCTCAGAACTGTTTTAAACATTACTTCAAGCTAGTCTTAGAGAATTGTGACATTATCACATGGATAAAATCCATTGGTGATTAGCAGGATTTGAACCCAGTGCCTCGACCTCTGAAGCCCCTAGCTCTACTACTAGACCAGTTCGCTCCTCTAGTCTGAGGTGTAAGCAACGAGTTCACGAGTTCAATCATCGTCTCAGTAACGTGTACAAGATGATTGGATTAACTATATTTGAAGACTAGATTTGTTTCCTATTATATTAGGCACTATTACGCGTTTATTTTCCACATTACTTCAAACTAGACTTAGAGGTTGCAGCATTATAATTTAGATAAAACCCTTCGGCGATTTGCGGTATTCGTACCCAGGTCCTAAGGTACCGAAGTCCCGCTATCTACTAGTGGACAAGCTTGCTCCCCAATTTGAAGAACATAATGCATACTGAATTCACGAACACCGTATAAATCCTCCGTAAAATATCAACAATTTGCCGTTATCTTTTGCATTGTAAAATAATGTTAGAATGCTTTAAATACAATTGTTTCATTTTTTTTTATTCTGTGTTACAATTCAAACTAGGTAATCAAAGTGTTAAAGGAAGAACCTTCAATGATTGATTACGTGATTTAAATGTAAAGAGGAACTACAAAGGAGGAAATTCTCTCTTGAAGCATTGGCAAAGAGCTTTGAACACTTTATCTTCAGTGACAGTCAGTCAGCTGTACTTACGTCCCTTAGCTGGGAAAAGTCGTGTATAAAACTACATGCTTCAATAATATCAAGCCATGTTATTTGATCAAATACAAATATAAAACATAATTATTACCATAGTTTAAATTTGTATTTTAATTTTGCTATATGAGATTTACCCCCTCACATAAAATAGATCACAGCTCATAACCAATCAATGTATAAAAATCTATGAAAGAAATTACAAGTATAATAACTAAATTTGGTAATTCATAAGCCAGTATTTTTGATACCACTTACTAAGTGAACAAATACTTGGCTAAACATTATTACGAGTTTCAATATTACTGAACAGTTTTCTTTACCTTTGAAAAATACAAAATATTCTTATAGGTGGTTCTGGAAAAAACGTTTTTTTTATTACCGTTCGAAAACTATTACTGTTTACATTTATATTTGTGACGAGAAAGAGATCTTCAACTGTAACAGGCCGCTGCTCAAGTTAGAGTCATATTAAGAGTGATAAGTATCCAAAATAGTTATTTTTTTCTCAGAATAATCAATTTCCTATTTAGTTTTTTAGTACTGATAAATTTCAAAATATTATAACAAATCAAAGTGACATTAAGCCTTATCAGCTAGAAAATGTACATATTTCTCAGCACACCATTCAAATGAATAAACGCTAACATTCAGACTTTGACAAACAGGGTTAAATAAGAAGACCAATAATAAATAATAATTATTGTATAATATATCTGGATCACAAACAGTAGGTAAAGCCCAAACAAGGCTGTTATAAGGAATGCCATTAGGCTTCATGTTAGCTCCTGTTTAGCTCTACAATATTATGTTAGTTTTATTATCAGGTGAGTAGTTGGAAATAAACATACGTAATCCAGCACGAATTTTTGTTTTGGAGGTTTAAAATATATACATATGTATATAAAATAGATGTATATCTGCATGAAGCAATTTTTTTAACACTGCCCTATATTTTATTTGTGGACCAACTTTGACGTTTTAGGTGCCAACAAATTCGTCTCATTTTGTAGTTTTGCAACAAGGTTTTAGAATTTAAAATTTCTTACCCTTGAGAACTGATGAGTTCTCAAAGTTAAATTTTTCCTACATAAGAATTACCTTAAATAAATTTAAAACAAAAAAACACGTGTTTCTAAAAAAACCCAGCAGATGTTTGGTAAGAGTATACTCATAAGTGAGTTCTTTTGAAATTCCCATTGAATAGATACATATTTTTGAATAATTATAATTAGTTGAGGTTTATCCCTTAGAGGAAATGAATTCTAAATGTTGTGTTAGAAATAAATAATTTACAAATGCCAAGCACAACAAATGTAGTTTTTTTCTTGTTGAGAAAACGTGCACGCAGTTATCTTTTAAAAGATGTTCTAGGTTTACTAAAAAAAAATGATAAATATTGAGCTAAAGAAATAAAAAGACTCAACATATAACTTGAAGCCAGCCTTTTAAGTATGTAAATTATAATTTAATTTTAAAAATAAAGGTTATTTTTCATTTATTCTGTAGGTTGATTTTATACATCATCTATATGTGCATGACAATCATTTGGGGAATAGTGTTGACAATCTTCAGGTCCTCGCCATGAATAACAATTTATTTATGTTCCCACGCACTCATAAGCATTCAGACAACTAAACAGTCTAATTACAGTACTTGAATTGATTCGAAGCTACAAAAATTAAAATAATTCAAAAACTAAATAGGTTTTTTTTTAAACTTTACAATATCAAAACGTATTTATTTCCAACTACTCCAGTTACAATTTGTTACCGATTCTATTAGTTAACTATTATTTATTAGGCACTCATTTCGTTATTGGACACACTTATAGACCTAGGAGTGTTCAGTATACAGATATCTATGTGATAGTTCTACAAGTTAGTATTTACAGATTGAGAATACCCAGGGAAGATGGCAAGTTTGTTGCATGCTATGACTGTCTTTAATTGATGAGTTAGCGACAGAGTTTTGAAGTTAAGCATTTTAGGTCGTATTGAGTAAACTTCCTTGAAGTTTAAAAAGGTTCGTATCACTTATAGATCGATAAAAATACAACAGTAACATTTAACTAGGTTTTTAGTTTAGTTGACTGAAAACATAAGATGAAACATGTCTTTAGAAATATGTTTACTTTTTAAAATTATTAAATAAATTTTATGAGAATTAAAACAAATTACACTTAAATGTTTGTATACCTTAACTTGTTTAGGTATTTATTTTCAAATATGCTTAAGGTTTTTTATTAATCAAATGGTTAGTAATTTGTTTTAAAATATATTGAATACTACAAAGTATTCCTACTCAATGAAATAATGAAACAAAACTTAAGGTATTGTTCAATAAAGTATTGTTATTTAAGTGTTATATTTGGATCAGAATATTTAGACGTTAATATTGATGAGGGTAGCTTAATTATTTTATTTAGTGTTTATTGAAATACAGAAGTTTTTTTTATTTGGAAATATTTGTATGGATGTTGTTACTATTAATTAATATGCTGAGAACGTTTACAGTTAAGTATTGAGTTATAAATTAAAACTAAACACACGTTAGATAACACCTAACTACATAAAAAACATAGCATTATTTTAGCTGAAAACCATATTAAATGAAAGAATGAAATTTATAAGAAACATTAGTTGTTTTACACATGTTTAACACTTTAATGTAATATGAATAGCATAAACGTATAACAATGATTTAGTATTCAAATAAATTAATAAAGCGTATACTCGTTAAACAAATATAAACTGTACCATATGACTTGAGATTGGAGGAATTTAAAATTACATTATTTATAAGTATTTCATAGGAACAAATCTGTAAACATGGAAATTTAAACATTTCTGAAAATTGCACTGATTAAATACAAAACAGTAAATAAGAAACACACGTAAATCTAGTTACAATTTAATACATAAGCAATATAAAAAGTGTGATTACAAATTAATAAAGTTATATTCAAACCACTTAATTTTGACATTCTACATCATACGTACACATAAATGTAAAAAATCGAATAAATCACTGAAACGTGGGTTTAATTGTGTGCTATAACATTTTCTAATCAATACGTCATTATTGAGTATTTTTATGATTTAAAACCGTTTCTTTTAGGCCCTTGAGTTTGTTTTCGATAGGTATAATCTATGTTAGACTGTATATTGTTTATTGAAATCAAAGGTACTCTTAGTATTGTGAGTGAGTTGGTGTACATGAACTTTATTAACTCCAACCAGCACCACTGAAAGTAAGTTGTCAGAAAATATAAAGTTTTTAAGCCCTTTGGCCAGGCAAAATAGTCACGTTTAAGGACGTGTAGCCCAAACTGTACAAATATTATCGATATAAGAAACAATTTCCAAAATCTGAACACGAATTGTAATCATAGAATAATTCCAAAGTACAATCATGCTGTTCTAACTTTTTACCAAAACATCATTGTTAATTTAATCCACCAAACTTAAAAAACAAAAACCTCCATTGGTGGTGGCTATTTAATACAGAAACACAAAACAATTTAATGATTCAGTAAGCTCATGAGCAAATCGTATTAAAAATAAATGTACTTTAATTCTTAAATCCCTGTTTCATTGTTGGTTAGTTTGTTTTGAACCGTTTGTTTTCGCCGCGCCCAGAGTGAAGATAGTTAACTCTGAAATATAATTTAGTTATAGATCATTAAAAGTCTTTAGACTAAAACTATGATGGTGATTTTTATAGACATACAGTTTAAATGGCCTGTTTTTTTACTTCCCTTTAAAAATGCATATTTATGTAGTTTTAAAACCAGTATATGTATATATTTTACACAAAATGGTTCATTTTATGTTAAGCAAAAAAAATTAACCAAAATATTTTATTTTACATTTTACATTAATAATTTTTTTTCATTGTTTCCAATTAACGTCAAGCAAATTTTCATCACCGAAAGACGGCAGGTTTTTAGTTTTGGTCTTGCGTTATATGTATTTTCTTCTTTTGGTTTTTTTTGTGTTACTTTCAACACCAGTGGCATTTTTTAATTAATTTAACGCTTGTCAGAGAGGTCAAATTTATCACGGAGTCGAATCCACCACTATTTTTTATTTGCTAAACTTATTTGACTGAGAAATCGCGTCATGGTATAGCTTCAACAAACATCTGATCAGTTGGTGTTAGTATACATGTGTTCACTATCTTCACTCAAACCTAGGACTCCAAGTTTATTCCAGTTTACCCACAATTTCCACATCGTCTGTCAACTGCAGGTCTTCCCCTGACTCCGACTCCTTGTCCAAATCCTTCTGCACTCTCCTCTTCTTGCGTCTCAAGATCCTCAGGTACAACACGTATTCGTTCTTCCTCCGCTCGGCAGATAGTTTGTACTTGTGCTTCAGCGGTCCGCAGGCTTCACTCGCTGCTAGAGCAGCTTTGCTGTGAGTCCTCGTCGGAGAACCGAGGCAGGGCTCCGCCCCCGTTGTAAGGGAGGGTCGCCGTACCCGGGGTGACGCCCCCTTGGCTCGGGGGCCGATGTTTTTTCATAGACCCCGACCACGGTTCCTCTTTGTACATCATATTCTCGTTTCCCTGCACAATATAATGTGGTAACTGTTGGAAAGGTGGTAAAACAGCTTGTGTAAAATTGAATTTATATATCAGAATGGACGTTCCATATGTGTGAGGCAGTTTTCTCGAAATACAAATCGACTTTGGAAGATTTGTGTATTCAAAAAGTCAATTATTGATAATTTCTTAAAAGCCTCAATAATAATCACTGACTTATAACCACAAGTTGCAATTAAAATCTGATCATCTCTTAGTTACTGAAATGACTCAAATTATTCCTAAACAATCCACAGTAAAAATAAATAACTTGTATAAACTATTTTCAAAACATTCAAAAATTAATCCACGAATACAGAAAAATTGTACATTACAAGATGACCTACTTCTGTCCAACCCGATGGATAATATTACAAGATTACCTCATATAGGGGTCACACCAAATAAACATCCAGGGTAACGTTCAGGTAGACATGACATGCGGAATGGCCAAACACATATTGACATCAACATGCCCCACGGACTACATACTCAGGGGGAGGGGCACGAACATGTTGCTTTGAGTTGGGGAATCTTCGTGGGTACTAGATGACCAAGCAATATGACCTGATTTGGTAAACATTTTAGAAATGGTTTTAGGGCTTATAACTATGTTTTGTAACATTTCAATTTGTTTGCATATAAACTTTCTTTTCAGGAATAAATAAAAATAGAAAATGTACAACATTGGTTCACCTGTTTTGTTTTAAACTCGGAAAATCAACAAATTGTCTGCAACATCCATTTTCAATTAGAATGTATCGGTGACATCATACATTGTTGAGATATTCCTACATGAACAGACCTTCCCTGAATTGATGAGTAGGCCTAATTAATAATAATTTGGCACGAAACTTTTGTAATGTTTTTTTTTTCTATTCAATAATTACTAGACAGCATTTTTAGAGTTTTGTAATAATTATAAAATCGAGTAGGTCATCTATGTTATGTTTTACTAGCTCTTATAGCTCCTGCAGTCATTGGAATGTTTTTGTAATACTTTAACATTTTCAGAATGTTCCTGTGAAAAGGAAAAAAAGTTATGGACAACATCTTACTTGTTCCATGGCTCATCGTAATTTCTTATATATTGTTATGTTTTCCAATCTAATGAACCAAGTTTTATGGGGATAAAATATTCATGTTCATTTCATTGCCATTGTGTGTTATTTATAACTTTGTCAAACATCAATTATTTTTACATCTCCATTTTTATTTCATTGTCATATGGGTGGATTATGGACAATTATCTTTGCATAGTACATTTATCAAAAGAAAATTGTTTTGTAATTTCTAGCAAATTTTAAGTCACCTAGACCAAATATTTAGCCGAAATGAGTTACTTAAGAAATACTCAGTTGAATTCTGAAAGGAGGTAATGTCAACAATTGACAAAATACGACCGCTTTTTACTTTTAAATTAGACATTCAGGTTTTACTTTCAAATGGATATTGTGGATTTTGGTCGATCTATTGCATTATAACCAGGAAAAAGATAGACAGATTTAAGACAACAAATTCAAAATCATTAACTATTCCTAGAGATTTAGATTGGATTGTACTTCATTGTTTTTAGTGCAGTATTCACTGGTTTTTACAACCCACTTTTGTATTTTTTGATCTAATACTGCTTTGAGTTAATTTAAAACCAATTTGTTTGCTAGTGAGCATTTACAAATAAGTTGAAGTAGAAAAAGAAAATTTTTTTAAATATAAATTCTACATTTCTGGAAAATGTTTAGTACGTTATAATTTTTTATTTAACTTAGTAGAACTACTGTAATTATACTCCTTTGTTTAATACTATATTCGTTATTTATAATATTACATGGATGGTAATGAATTGGTAATTGAAGTAGACTGCTAACGAAAAATATTACAAGTGAAAGCTTTAATATTTTACATATTGCAAATAGTAGTAAAAAAATCGTAGGCTCACAATATGGAATGCTATTAAAATTACGGTAATACCTATTGTATTTTGTTATTTATTATTTTTACGATATTTACAGTACCATATTAAATTCTTGTACAATGATTTTACTTTTTTTATAAATATAAGAAATGTTACAATTTTAACCCGCAATAATTAAATTTTGGATTTGTAATGGAAAGATCAATTTTGTCAACTATTGGAATATTTAAACTATGTAAATTAAACTCATAAAATATTGTGAAATATAAGTAATAAAAATATGTATGTCAACAGCTTTATCTCATAAAACTCCAAATAAAAATTTCCTAAGGACCATATTATTCCTTAAAATATTATTTATAATAACTCCTAAAGAAAAGACTTTATAGTCTGTGCATTAAATGTATTTTTAACTAGCAAGCTGGTCTTACCTATCAGAATAAATGTAGGTATCTGCATTTGTTTTGTTATAAAACTAGTTTAGTCCACTTCGATGACCAAATTAGCATTGACCCATAGATAAAGAAGTAGACATCCCATTTATTTAGACCATATGCAGCAAATTTGTTTTCATAATAATAGAGTTGACCGAACAATTTCAACAAAGAGTTGTGCTACAATCTACAATTAAGTTTTCTCCTTTAGATGACACAGTTATGAAAACATAAAGGTATTTAAGTTTATAATAATCTTTCTGTATGGTTTGGCTTGGATAAAAAATGTTTGAATATTTGACAAAAATCAGTAATTTACACAAATCTTAGGACAAAAGCTGTACGGATTATCAACATAAACAAATTACGTCACTGGCCTGAGAGTAAACATGTTTATACTAATATTTAAACTAAAAGGAACTGTCAAAAAACTTACAAACCAACTAGTACGGCTATTAGTATAGTCATTTGGGCCAGTGACACCATTTGTTTAAGTTTATGATCCATACCCCTATTGTTCTAATATTCGTGGTAAATAACAACATAACAAAATTTCAGTGCATCGATAAAACCCCTAAATAAAAAAATCTGGCTTCTAGTAATGGGATGTCTAGTTCTATAGATTTTCGAAGGTTATAGTGAGAGGTAACATGCGGTACAACACTGTTACTCACATAAAACAGTGATTTACCAAAGTGAGGCCAGGCTGTAGTGGGGGGTTGGCGGGGGCCAGGGGCGGCTTGAGGGCGGCAATGGGCGGCGGGGGCGGCAGCAGCAGGTTATCTGGAGGTGTGACGTCACCGTCGTCTTGGCTCAGCGTCGCTAACCAGCCGCCCAGGCTGATACAGCAGCCGCAGCACAGGTCGAGGGCGGCGGACCGTAGACCTCGGTGGAGCACGAGGAACAGCGAGGGGTTGACGAACGCGTGCACGTAGGCGACGTGCAACGTGATCTGGCGAACAAATGATAACAGACATGATGACAAGATAACGCTGTAGAATGTAGACAACGCTGTACAAGAGATCTAGTGGCGTAAACAACTAGTTAGTCTTCATGTAAAGTTGGACTGATCTGGCCCAGCGAGCAAGGAATACCATTCCTTGTATTCCTTGGTATTCCTTGCTCGTTGATCTGGCCACGTGCAGCTTGTTCTGGGAATGGACAAAATAATGTGATAAAAAATATGTCAATGAGTAAAAGTTAAGTGAATAAAGGTGTACTACAAGACCTAGCGTCAGATACAATTGGTTAAATGTAAGTGTTACACAAGATAAGAAAGAGTAAAAGAAGAAGCTTTGCGGAGGACTGAGCATAACTGGCGGACAAACATAACTAATCGAGTAGAGGACAAGTCACATGATAAAATAGATGTTGACAAGAAAATATAAGTGTGGATAAGGAGAATGATTGTAGGCAGAGATTGTTAAGCATAAGTGACGCACAACATGATCGATTGACAACCTGGGTGATAATCGAGATGTGGAGAATTGAAAGAAAAATATGTATAAAAGAAACATATTCTGATTGGATTTGACCGTCAAAAACACAAGGTAAGAACGAGTAAGAGAGAATGGATACCGAAGGAGGTTTAAAGAGTCGTGCAGCTTTATTTGGTACCAGACGACTTAACTTGATGAGGAAATTGTTGGCATTTTAAAACAACTCAAAATTGACACATACACTCTTAATACTTGATTTGACAGTCACACACGATAGGACACAGTAAGAGATAATAATTGACAAAGGTAACAACGTGCAATTTTACAAGTATTCGTTGAAAATTTCGCAACTACTAACGATAACAACAACAACAACAATATGACTAACATAACAATATGACTAACATGATAAGCTAGACGTTGAGACAGAAAATAACCTATTAACTATCAATCTTTTGCTATGTAAAATTAATGTGTGCCTCAATGAATCGTATAAAGTTAAATACACTACAAGTTTAAAGTTTACCCAAAGGTGATGGTTTTTCAGACATGACAGTGAAACGACAAAAGGTAAGAAAAAGTAAAAGAGAAATGTTAACAAATGTTTGAACATAGGCAATGCGAAACGTGATCTAGTCACAGCCACTGATGGTGATACGTGTCTAAGGGTTTGCAGAGAAAATCTTTACTGCTAAGACACCACAATACTTCTTATTTATGCTTGTAAAACCAGTTCTAGTCTCAGCTCTTGCTCTAATCATGTACAATACAGGATTGTAGACAATGATAAGCAACTAATAAAATTCGATAAAATTATGAAATATTAAGATAAAGGTGCTTCTGTATTGCAGTGATGTAATTTCAAACATTCTGTGAAGCTATTTCAATCAAACGTCAAGCATTTCCACAGAATAACCCTATATTTTTGCTTGTTAACATTTAAAACATACGTGTATAATATTTACACAATGAATAATACTACCAATTTTCAAAGGTATTTTACTTAAATGGCTCCAATTTGTATGTTAAAATAGTATACCTCTTAACCTATGTTGCTATTTTATTCACAGGTAACAAAACAAGCTTTAAGATTCGTTCCCGAATTAAAACCGCTGAGGGAAATTGAATCCCACATCGCACGGAATAATGAAATTCGAGTCGGTGTGCAAATTGCCCTCACACAAGGTTAAACAAGATCCCTGGAGCGTGAATGAGTAAAAACAAACACTCGCGTTGAGCAATTGCTTCTCTTCCAACGACACTTTGCTTTGTTTTATCATCCTCTTGTTCTACGTCTACACACAGCTGTTGAATTAATGAACGACTATAAACTTGAACTATACTGAACACATGGTAGTAGTATGAAATGGCTTACGGATTTGGGCATGCTTATTTATAAAGCAAATCTCTCAGATATTAATTTATGTTTTAAATTTTGACAGAAGTTAATGATAAAACAGGTACTTGCTTACCTTTTATTCACTATATTCAAATATTTATTTAATAGCATCGTACGTGTTACTTAATTTCCTGAAAGTATAAAAATGCGTAAAAATACACTTGTAGCAATATATTAATACTTATACAAAAACTAACCAGACGGTAGATACATAACAGATGGTAAAGTGGTGATAGATTTCGATTGGATACCCCAATCATCATCAGACCCAATCGGCGAATATGCCTATCGCCTATTGGGTCTGATGATGATTGGAGTTTCAAATCGAAATCAATCACCACATACCATCTTTTATATGCATTTGCCATCTTGTGAATTAACAGTATAAGTGTAAATATGTTATAACAGGTGTTTGACGCATTTATACTTTAAAGCATTTTTTTAACGCATATGCTTTAAATGATTTTTTAGAAATAATAAATCAATGTAGGAATCTAACAGCTTAAACCAAATAACTCCAATCTCAGGTTTATTTTTAAAAATTTAATTATTACCAAGTTTTTTTTTTTATTTCCCTAAGGGTCTAGATTATTCAAATCCAAACGCTTACACAGTTTTTTTCTCTGCTTTAAAATATGTTTTTTTTTATTTTTCTCCAAAGAAAATCGTGATTACTTAACTAATTTACCTGTACCTCATAACCCAGCGGATATCCTAGTATTGGATGTTGGAGCAGTGTTACTAAGAAGAGAGGTCCCCAGAACAACATGTAAGCTGCTATGATGACTAGGAACATCTTCACTCTTTGAACACCCTCTCGCTCCATACGCCTGAGATAGTGCTCCATGCGACGGTGCTCCTCTGCAGGCGGCTGTAATACACGTGTTATTAAGCAGTGTTTCTAGGAAGATATGTCCCCAGAATAACATATAAGCTGCTGAGATTACTAGGCACATCTTCTCTCTTTGTACACCCTCACACTCTATACGCCTCCCCAGAATGGACTCCCCCAGAATGGAGGAGCGAGCTGGTCCACTAGACCAGCTCGCTCCTCCATTCTGGGCCAAACCAAAGGCCAACCAAAGCCCCACACAATAACCACTAGTTATTGTGTGGGGCTTTGGTTCCCAAGGTTCTGAGCTCAAATCCCACCAAATCATCAATGGGTTTTATCTATGTGATATTGCCACAACCCCTAGGTCTACTGTCTAGTCTGAAGTAATGTGAAAAACAATTCCGGGATCGTGCCTAATAGTATTCAACCGAAAACCTCGGGGCTAGAAACCTATATTAAATTAAGAGTGACTACCCTATGTGTTTTACTTACCCTTGGTATGGCTCCATTTGTGCCTTGTCTGGAGTTGACGAACCCTGAGGGTAGCTCTGGCATACCCCCACCTCCTGTTACACTAACTAGGGTCGTTACCAACCCCGCTACTCTCACTGCCTCCACATTGGCCTTCGTCAAATCTCTGAAACATCAAGTTTATGTGGTACCAGCCTGATTACGACAAGTACTAAACTTTTTACAATACTGTATACGCCCTCTGTCTAGGCTCTTGTATTTAAGTAGTTTGTTATTATTCAAACAACTAATAAACAGTGAAAATTGAGTTGCAATTTAGTTTAATGTTAATAGTTTAAGGTTCGTAACTCAACTAAATTTGCCATACCTCTGGATACATTGTTTCTGAATTTGACTATTCAGAGATGAACCTCAAGCTTCCATAAGATCGTTTAGGCATTTTAGGTGTTCTATTCCCATGAGTAGGATTTTCAGTCACAAATACTAGCCGAGATACAAAAGTTAGTTCCAAAACCCTCAGGAGAAGCTTAACGTAAAGTTAAAGGGCATGTTCTTGGTTTTTTTTTTATACTGTTTACTATGATATTGTCTTGTTGGGTATCTTATTGCAATTATGAACTATTTACCTGTGCAATTTGTGCAGGTGAAAGAGCGTGAGCAGGACACAAATGACGTTTATGAAGATCCACAGTACGTTTAGCACGTAGTGTCTAAAGGGACCGTGCACTAGAGGACATGACGGGAGGTTGTGCATGCCTTCGGAGTTGGCAGCCAACGCCCCTGAGAGAAATGTTGGCCCTGTAAAAGAAATTAAGCTAGTAGGGAACGGGTTTTTTTCCTTTCTAGATGTGGTGGACCGAGAACCTAAAGAGCACCTTGATGTGTCTTTAAGGCACCTCAGGAAATTTGATCAATGGAAAATGTCATTGTTAATAAGTGGGATTTGAACCTAAGATTACGAGGATGAAATTCCCTTCCGCTACCACTTAGTGCACCTTGCTTCCTCGGAACTTTTTACATCAGGAGAGTTGGAATAAACCTGATATTTATGAGGTTGTAGGGTAATCAGAAAAAATAAATCTCACTTGCTAAAATACTGTATTTTTTAAGCTGTCAATTGGAAATTTAATATAAAGACAAGGTACAGTTAAGTACTCCTTAGTAAAGAATTATTCAACAATACATGATGTAAACATTATATTTTTCCACTAGGGATAGGAATTGAATCCAGGCCCAACAGAACCCAATTTTTCAACCTAAAAAACAAATAGTAGTTGCTGCTTCATAGTATTCCGGTTTAAGGTTTGTTTTTATTAACCAACCAATTGTACATTTAATCATAAATGTTGCCTAGTTCATAACCAAATCTACTGTAATCTGCGCTAGAAAGGGGTCGTATCCCTATAAGTCGTTCCTATAAGTGCATAGTGATGAAACAAATAAATTAAAATAAATCAAGATAATATTTTTGAAAAAAAAATATAGCGAATTTGACAAAAAAAAATTAAATAGTACTTCATAATATCACGTCTTGTCAGAGACCCAATTTGTAACTATTTTAAAAATTCCTAACTTTAACACAATTAAATGGAAACTTTACCTAGGTTGATTGTGATGCTTGCGAACCAGATCATGAACGTCCCGAAGAGCACGCACTGCGGGGAGTCCATCAGTAGAGGTGCCGAGAGGTCGTCTTCCTCTTCGTCACCATCCGGGAACACCGGGGAGTCGTTCAGCACCGTCGTCAACATGTTCACTGTAGATACGGTAACCTAGGGCAAGAAGAGTTATAGGTTTGAAAAGAAAAATATATGTAATACTTATGATACATTTCCACGATCATATTAGACTGTCTTCGGGATTACCGCGTCGTTGAACTGACTAACAAAGACAGTTGCCTACAAATTGTATTGAAGCTACTACAATCCAAATGACACCTTCCAAAGACCAAATCCTAAAGTATAATCCTGTGTGGTTACCTGATAAATGTACCTTGAGCTCGAGAATCAATCCTGGTTCTTCTAGACGTTAAGTACAGTAGACTACGATGTTGGGTATGAGGGGTATATACAGGGTGATTGATATACGTGTGCCAGCCGTTTTATTCAAAAACTATAAGAGATATCAAAAAAAGTTAAATAGTAAGTGCCTTGGATTTTTTATTTAAAAAATTTTAGTCAAGTCCAAAAATTTATTTTAGCAGCCATTTTTCCAATATGGCCACCAACTTTGATTTTTCTTATAGAACACCCTGTATTTTATAATGTATTCTGGTAGAAAATGTGATTTTAAGATGATTTTATTCTTGTGATTTTTTTTTCATAAACATAACCGTTTTAAAAATAATAATGGTTTAAGTTGTGAAATTTTGAAAGGTTTTCGAATAAAACAGCTGGCATGCTTGCTTAGGCCTTTATCGAAACTCTTTCTCATGCAGAAATTTCAAAAGCTTAACCATTATTATCTTTGAAACGGTTAGGTTTATGAAAAAAATTACACGAATAAAATCGTCTAAAAATTACATTTTCTACTAGAATACATCATAAAATACAGGGTGTTCTATAAGAAAAATCAAAGTTGGTGGCCATATTGGAAAAATGGCGGCTAAAATAATTTTTTCGACTTTACTAAAATTTTTTAAATAAAAAGTCCAAGGCACTTACTATTTAACTTTTTTTGATATCTGTTATGGTTTTCGAATAAAACGGCTGGCACACTTATATCAATCACCCTGTATAAGGTCAAGATTTCTATATGTTGATTAAAGGAATGAACAGTTGACTGTGGAGTTATAATTATTGAAAACCCCAATGAGTACAAAGATTTATATCACATCTGTTGTTCCTGATTTGCAATCATCTGTAGAGCTTCATTTGTATGCAATGTTGCCTAGGATAGGTATAATAATTACTGTTAATTTAATAATCTGAGTAACACTATTTTTTCCAACTCTAGAGTAACTTTTGGAAAATGATATACTTTAGGGGACCGCATAATATTTATGCAGAAGAAATACGTTCGTTTTATTTTTCTTGATTTTTTTCATGGTAATATTTATATAATTATTTATTTACCTAGTTATTAGTAAAACTAATTTACCAAACTTTTGTTTTTTGTGTAATTGTATTTTGGAAATGTATTTATTTGATGTACCCCTTGAGGGAAATATCAATAAAAGAATGATGATGAGGATAACATTTTTCTTAAAGGTTAATAAAAAGCAGAACTGCACAAAGTGTGCAACAAATGCCAGTAAGGGACAGTCACAGATATAAACTTTTCTTTATACCTTATCATACAAAACACTCAAGGCGTTTTAGGTTTATAACATACGTATGTACGTAATCGTATCTCACCTATATTTCCCGTCTGAATTAATGATCTATTTTACCAAACCTAATTAATTTATGATTTCAAAATTAGTTTAACATGAGATTAATGATGAGCCAAAAATGCTCTCAAAAGGCACGCAATGCATAAATATATAGATTTCGATTCCTTGAAGTATATAATATTTTACTAAAACTCCTTATACAATTACATTAGGGAAGTTTTTTTTAATAGGCACTGTAAATATTCACAAATAAATGTATCCTTTTGACGCTGCTTATCCTGTACAAACAAGTTAATACCTTTTAAGCAATTGCCTATTAAGCAGAGAAGGAGGTGATAAGGTAATAAGTAATTTTACTCTCTATGTACATTTTAACTTCGGTTCTAACTAGTATCCAAAATACAAATTCACCTACTTACGAGTAATAAAAAGGCAGTTTCGAGTAGGGAACACTTTTTGATAGGTTCACAGCGCATGATAGAGACGGCAAGAGGAATCAAGATGGCGGCTCGGGCACAGTCCACCATCGCCTGGTGAAAGAGCAATCCTTGCGACCATCTGTTGATCAAAGAATCTTTAATAATCAACATGAAATTATTAAAGCCAGATAGATTATGCCACATTTAGCCTTTGGTCTGTCAAATTCCATTAACTTTTTTAGAACTACCAGCTAACAAAATACATAAAATCACAGAGTGCAAGATCAGTGGATTTTAAAGTAAATCAGAGGATCCCTCAAGAACTGTGCTCGAAAATTTTCTCTTCCTTATCTTCTTCCACGACATTGACTAGACCAACTACTCAATATTATATTTTGTATGTACGTAACTGTTTTGATTGGAAAAAAGAAACCTGGCCGAATCTACCGTTGTCAATGATAAAGGCTAATGAATCACGTGTGTTCAAATATCTTAAAATGTGTGGTGTTCGGATTTGTATTAAAAACTATACAATAAAAGAATTTAAATAAATTAAAATTTTGTTGAACCTCCTGAGGAAAATGTGTAAATGTACATTAATACATTAATGATTGGATTAATCGACTTTTACCAAAACCTGATACTTGTCATTTTAAGAATAGGATGAAGAAGCTTGCATATAAAGTAACTTTTATTTAAAGAATCAATCATTCAAAGAATCATGGACTTTTCAAACCCTATGGAGTTGAATCTTTCTCTCTCTCTAACACATTGTTCAATAGAAATAGGTTTTGTTTAAATCTTTGATATTACAGATCTATAAGAGCTCTATGTCATGAGGTATGAATTTTTATGGCTCAAAATTGTTTAAATACTCACACTAAACACACTAAACACGCTAAACACAATTAAAAACTCGTTAACTATATCATGTTTCCACAGACTTCTAGCCGTGTTCAGTTTGCAACATAAACAATGCAAGTTTTCATTTGATCAAAGGAGTAAGAGGGTGTGCTTGAACAAAGTTTGCCAAGTTTGGTCATGTTTAGTAAAGCAGCCACATGATATGGCGGGGCGGGTACAAAACAGAGAATAATTAACGTTTACCGTGCTAATAACTCAACAGTTAAGTGGTTTTCTATGAGTGTTTGGTTTTGCTAACTAGGATTAAGTATTTAAATATTAGTTGAGTATACAATCCGACGCAAAGAACATACATACAATTTTTAAACCGGTCAACCGGTTCTATTAGGGTACATAATAAAGTGTAGCTAATGTGATTACCCCTGATTAAAGCCCCTTCCTTAATGACTAGAACATTTAAAAACGGTTTTAACCTGTTATTTTTTATCTCCATTACCCTTAATATTAAACTTGAATGAAATAACCGTAATTAAAACCTAAGAAGATCGCTATAATGGTTGTTAACCTCAATCGACAATTGGAATACTTGACGAGGTATTGTACCATAATAGTATAGTCAAATAAAGTAATCCAGGGGCATCAACATAGAATTTAATTTTCTAAGAACATCGATAAATTAATGCAGTCTTCTCGTAAAAAAAAACTTGTTTGCTTGAAATCTTTGATTACTATTCATAACCACCTTTTATAAGCTCGTGTTTACACGTTATATGATTTTAGAATTAAGCAATAACTTTTTTTTATTTTAAAACCTCTACTACCATTTTTTGGTTCAGAAAATGAATATCAAAATAGACATTTTTTTTACTCGTGCGATACACATAGTGGGTCTATTAATTGTAAATTGTTATACAATCTTAATTCTTCTTACTGTGTGGTTGGCAACTGTAGCCTACAACTTATAAAATACAGTACAGTATTGTAACAAAATGATGTTCTTTTTTATGCCTCATTTCCCTTCAGTTTCATATTTTTTGTGAGTTTTTCAGTTATAAGTTTTGTACTTATCTGTTTTTTTAACCTATAAATTATGTGTTAGGAGAAGTTTATGCAACTCTATAATTCCAAAAGCAATAGAAAACATGGTCTTATGAAACGTCATTATTGCAGTAGTGATGATAAATCAAGGAAAATCATTAAGAGCTGTTAAGCAAATAAACATTGAAAATATGTTCTAAATAACATTCAAACATTTTCCACAACATATTTTCCTAATAATTTGCTTAGTACCAATTAACCCTATTTTTACAGCTCTACCTAAGCAATTTATTTCCCTGATTCTGTAGGGCTTCGAAAAATGTCATAACCTCACCGTATCGTACTTTACACCAATTTGCATCAACCCACCCAGAAGCAATTTAAATACGATACTGTAATCACAATAAGTTTGTATTATAATAGCCCCGGTTGGTCCTATTTATTTAAAACCCATTTGTTCAGGGAAGCCTTCGGGAATTTGTACTACAAGTTTAAATTTATCGTGGTTGTTTCCATAACGCCTATTAAAATTAAAAATAAATCATCATGTTGAAATCACTTTTTAACCTGAACTATTGAAAGCCGGTGTTAAATACCCCCACCCTTGCATAGCATTAAAATGAGGTAAAATTAAACACTAGTGGATTGTACAATGGCATTAAGTACTCTTAAATATAATATACATTTAATCGTATCTAAATTTAATAGTATCTAAAATAAGATTTAAGCAACTCAATGCTATTAAAAAATTAAATTTTATTACATTTATTCTAGATTATTGCAACAAGGTGTGTTTGAATGAAGAATTAGGCAAAAATTTTCATAATACTTTTGTTAGTGTAATTATTAATTTCAGTTCCAATAATATTAGCTTTTATATCGATAGTCGTGAGTGTCTCGATATTTTTAAAGTAATTCACGATCCCATGTAAAAATTTTATTATTCTTTAAAGATGAAGAAATCGCCAACTAATTTTTGATAGACAAGAGTATTTCGATATTTTGATAGTAATTTACAATCCCTTGTAACAATTTTATAACTCTAAACATGGAGAAATCACCCACTAATTTTTAACTCTTCATTCAGGGAGCGTTCATCATAATAAAGCTTGCTGAGCTCATCAATGCAAAGTATACAGTTTCATCATCAGAGCTTTAATTAACGGAAAGTGTTTGATAGGATATTCAACCTTAACAACGTTGTAAATTATCAGAAGTTGTCGGTTAATTATTACTTGAGTGAAAATTGATTAACTTTTAGGTATACTAATTATAATTATGAGTTTGAAAATTATAAAAAAATATGATAATTAATAATAAGAACTTTAACCTTAGTTATTTAGGGTATATTATTCGAACCTTCATCTTATGACATTTTCTTAAACAGATTTCTGATTGATGTTCTGGTATTTCCTAAGGGTTTGGTGGGATAGGCATATTGTTAGTTTAAAACGTTGTTAGTTTTAAATATATGTGTCAATAATAACACTGTATAAGTCCCTATTTGGTTACTTAACTTTAATTATCAACAGAGATACAGCACTGTATGTTAAGGAAAATCTCTCTATTCAAGTCACTGGCGTCATTCAGCAAAGCTACCTTGAAGTATAAGCCTCCACCTGTTTGCTTGTGATAAGTAAGAATAAAGGAGGTAATATAAGCTTTGCCTTTAGGTTACATGAGTAATATTGTTACAGGTTTCCTTATGTGACTGCAAGGTTTTCTTCGACTATAACATCGAATAACAAAAACATTTACAACGCAAAACTACCAATATTATTCTGCACAAACCAAAAGAAAAGGTTCCTTTGTCGGTTAGCTTTGTGAGTACTATTTTCACTTCAAATAATATTAAAAATATTATATTTATTTAAGTTGTTGGTAACTAATACTTTGTTGTAACAAATCATTTTTACAGAGGTTGATCTTTGTGACTTGGTTTCCATACTGTTTACAAAATATGTTTTGTTAAGTTATACAGTAAAAATTTGTAAAATTTGAAATATTAGGTTAAAAGACATAAATTCCACACAATATTCCACCTGATATCCCGGGAACTACAGATCTACAATTTTAAATTGTAATTCGGATTGCAGGATTTATCATCAGAAGTGTTTGGAACACAGCAATCTTGGACTTGCACCAAAGCACTACTGCAATGTTAGAAAATATTACCTAAGCAGCACTCGGTTTCATATAATTCACATTGAACATGAGAACCCGTACCTTTACAGTACCTACCTACAACGAAATAACCTATCATACAAGTTTGAAAGAAACAATTTAAGTAAACGCTTAAACAAATCGACATTATATTTGCAGTAAATTGTGAGCATCCTTAATCGATTTATTTCAAACACATTAATGATAACATCAAATTAATATACGTTCCTAAGAAATTGTAATATATAAAATTACAAAGGTTACAATAAAAGATAGTGCAGATGGAAGGTGGAGCATCAATAAGACTTTCTATTGAATTGAATGCAAATCAGGTAAACCCCTTTGATGGTACATTATTAAACGGATCGTCATATTCAATTTCTAAAAGACGAGGTACGTTATCCTGAATGCAAACAATTATTTGATGGGATAGTAATTAATTACAAAAGTTTTAGGAAATTGTTCTCTTTTTGTGCTTTTAATTTCACATCAGTTGAAAACTGTCTGCAATATTAAACATAAAAATAAAAAAAAATATTATTTTAAATCGTGGGCTTAATGATTCTTGATTTGTTTGTTAGAGTATATGTCCACAAAGAAATTTAAATAGTGATTTTAAATAGTTAAAACTCCTATTGCAAGTGTTCAAATAATATACATATATTTGTTGTCAACTAGTAAAGAGAACTGAAATAAAATCAAATTTCATTTAAATAAAATTTTTTACGATCATTTTATTGGCATTACGGTCCACAGTCCACACGTTACAACAAATAAAGTGAGATGTGCTTTAAATATTAATTTTGAGATTCATTAAATCAAATTAATTCTTGTACAAAGAAACTACCTTTTAAATTAAACTAATTAATTAATATTAATTAATTAATATTTTATATTTTATTTTTATCCAATAACAGCGGAATGTGTAGAGATTTATAATTCTTTTGCTAAAATATATTCTACAAAAGTAATTTATCTTTGTGGTAGGTAATGTAAAATGTTATCTTATCAATATCAAATCAAATTTTAATTACATATCTTGTCATAAATTTTGATATTTTTTTACTCAACTTAAGCTTTTTTTCTGAATATATAAGTTTCTATTCAGATTTTCTGTTTGATTATACTATCTAAAGTTTTATTCCTGCCACACTGTCAAGTGCCAACAGACAAGGGTGGGTCCCAGCAAAACCTACGAAGGATTTACAATGGGATATCTTAGTCTGCCTTGCTAATCAGATTAACCTGACGTTTCAAAAGAGCATTCGGTGTTTTGCTTTACAATATTTTGAGATTTATAAAGTAGACTATTGTAATTGTTGAGATTAAAATCAATTAAATTATTAATTAAAACTTAGCTGTGACCATTTATAACAAAAATTTTTTAGCCGATTCATCTGGTTCATATTATGTAGTTTTCATTTTAAGAAATGTATACTTAATTTAATATAATATCTACAATGATTGATTTGTTTATGATTTTTATTTCGGAAAGATGCCAATTTTACTAAAATAACTAAAGTGGGGTGGTTTACATACGTGGCCTGGCAGTTAAGTGTTTTTATCGGTTCAGTATATGCGGTAACTTGTAAAGCAAAGTTGTTCACCGTAAGTTCCACACTTGAAGGGGTGGTCTCCATTAGCTAAGTGGGGAACTTTACAACTTATCGCTATACTATGATGGAAATATGTTTGGAAAGCCCCTGCATTAGGACAAAGAAGTTACGACTTGTAACTGAAAAAGATTATTTAAACAAATTTTGGCTGAAATTTATATTATTTGAGTAATAGTTTGTCCTTATAAAGTCACTATGAATAATATTGGTGGGTTGATCTCAAACTAAAATTAGACTATGCGGCATGGTTGCGAAAAGCTTTAAAAACTGACTACAGTTACAGTGATACCTAAATATATTTTTCAGGGTCTTTCTTTAGTAATTGTTTTTCAAAATTGTTGACATAAACCTCTAAGGCCTGTGTTTGAAAACGAGAAATGAATATCATTTAAACCAACATTAAAAATTTGAATTTTTTAAAAATAAAAACACTAAATTTCTAATAGTTGAACCGGTAACCTTTTTACTATTTGGCAAATAACTACATCTACTAAGTTGCACGACAAAAAATCTATATTTTCCAATTTAATTTACATCCAGACTTCTTCTTACCTGCGCAGCTGTTTCTTGGCGAGTATGAGCATCATAAGAGCCAGGTTGGCCGACATGCCCAGACCTCCAAGGATGAAGATGATGGTCGCCTCGGTCTCTCCCCCCGGGTGACACTGGAAGTTCCGCGTGGAGTTTGTGAGGTTCCCGGGGGAACTGCTGCCGTACCGCAGGTTTGCTCCGATCATCGCCACAGCCGACCCTTGTCATATTGCAACGAGGTTACACAAAGAAGTAATAGGTTCTGGAGGGAAAGTATACTAAGAGCAACACTGTTCTGTAGCATGTTTATGTGTATGTAGCATAGCACAAATGCTACATAGCAAAGCTAATGAGGTGGGTTGATGTGGAGGGTAATATATAATTAAAGAGTTTATTATGTTCTAAGCATAAATGTTGGGGGCGTAATGGGTGAAAATGAAAATAATTAATAACTCGAAGGACCAGAACTAATTAATAGTTCAAGAGAAAAATAATTAAATTAGAGAAAATGACGAATCTGCAATTTGAAGGGCACTGAGGTCCCGAGATGGAATAAAATGTCTTGTGAGGGGCAAATGAGATTAGTTTTAGAGTCTAATTAAAACACACACAAAACTTTAAGGTTGTACCTTGCGTCCAATTATCCAAAGGTGGAGAGTATGGCAGCGGCGTCGTCTATGGTGGAGCGAGGGCGGATGGCGGAGTCCTTAGACCGAGTGCTTCTGTTTTGTAGAATTTTGGAGAACGCAACGCACCCAAGTTCATAATCACAAAGAGCTCACTAATACGCGGAAGTCGCGGTGAAAACGTACGGAAAGTCTAGAAGTAATACACGGACGCGCACACACTGTCTTGAGGTTTGAAGAGTCTGAAAGCACTAGATCACAATTTAAGTAATTTAATCACAAACAAAAGGGGGAAATTAAAATGTATATATAGTTAAATGTACTATAGAGGAGAGAGAGGCCAGATATAATTAATCTATAGCCTAAAAATACGTTTAAGAGGTAAAATGGGCAATTAATGTCCCGAGATACTAGAAACGGAATACACCGTGAGTTATGGACGCCGACCGTGGACAGACAGACGCCGATCGCCGGTTTCACACTTTTAAAAATGCAATTGCGGTTTAGAGGGGTCTAGGAATTCGATGGCCAATAGGAAATGCGATTGAAGCAAACACGGCGTCAGGTGATTCATGGGTATGTAGTACAGGAAAATAGGCCTTACTGTGGCGGGAAATTCGAGCAGGCTTAGCAATCTCATTTGAATATTGAAAGCGGGAGTCTATTTACAATAAATTGTTACTGAGACTAAATAATATTACAATAAATGTGGTGATTTATATACACATTAGCATGATTAATTAACCAGTGACTTAATTAACATAATGATTAATTTCTAAATACTCTAAAAATATGAATACCGAACATTCCGGCCCCCTTGAAGCATTACAGCTTCAACAGACAATTAATTAAAAAACACAAGAGCAAACGTAAACCACACTTAAATCTAAAATGTACATAGAGTAGGTTTCTTGGACTTAGTCTTCATTGCATGGCAGAGGGAAGACCTTGTGAACAGGCCGTGTGAAAGTCCCAGAAGCTGTCTTCACTGTGACGACTCGAACTGTTCCATCAGCGCCAGGGTGAGTGGAGACGATGCGTCCAAGAGGCCAGGTGAGTGGAGGTGAATTGGAGTGAATGAGCACCAAGTCTCCGGTCTTCAAATTCTCATGAGGGGTGGTCCACTTGGATCGCTGCTGGAGGGAGTGGAGATATTCAAGCTGCCAACGCCTCCAGATACGCTGGTGAAAAGCCTGGACAAGCTGCCACTGACGAAGACGATTGAAGGGCACTTCAGACAGGTGAGGTTCCGGCAGGGCAACTAATGGAGCTCCGATGAGGAAATGTCCAGGGGTCAGCACAGAAATTTCGGAAGGGTCTGAACTAAGAGCTGTAAGAGGGCGCGAGTTTAGCATTGCCTCTACTTGAATGGACAAAGTTTGAAATTGGGTTAAAGTTAAAATGGTTTCACCAATTACCCGTTTCAGATGGTATTTTGCACTTTTAACGGCACTTTCCCATAAGCCACCTTGATGAGGTGCAGAGGGGGGGTTGAAATGGAAGTTAATTCCTTTGGGGGTGGTGAAATGAACAATTTTGTCCTGCGAATCAGGTGTAAGGATGGTTTCACGGATTACCTTGCGTAATTCCGAGTTTGCACCAACAAAGTTGGTTCCGCAGTCAGAATACAGATCGGAACAGAGTCCGCGTCTCGACACAAAACGTGTGAGAGCGGCAATGAAGCCTGAGGTGGTAAGATCGGTGACTACCTCTATATGAATAGCTTTGGTAGCCATGCAGATAAAAATACACAAATAGACCTTAATCTGTCTAAGAGCTTTGAGACTGCAAACGCGAACACTAAATGGTCCGGCGTAATCTACGCCTGTAGATGAGAATGGACGAGTAGGATTGACCCGATGAGCAGGTAAATCACCCATTAGAGGGATTTTGTTTCGTGGTTTATTTTTAAAGCACACAAGACACCTAAATATGCGCGAGCGGATAACGCTCCTGGCCGATAGAATCCACACTTTTCGGGCGAGTAGTGATTGAGTTAGTTGCGGACCTGAGTGCAAGTGTACCTGGTGGTAAAAGTCTATAAGCAAATTCACTACAGTATGAGACTTGGGTAGAACAATAGGGTGACGTATGTCATGAGCAAGCGAACAATGTGACAATCGGCCACCGACGCGTATGAGACCATTAGGGTCGAGGAAGGGGGTGAGTTTCTGTAATTGTGCAGAACATATTGAGCCTTTGTTCAATAATTTAATATCCGCACTGAAATGGAGTTTTTGCACTAGTTTAAAAATTGTCACTTCCGCTAGATTTAATTCACTGAGTTTTAAGTGTCCAGAGAGTTTGTTTTTAGACCTGGAATAGTTTATGAATCGTAGTACATAAGCTAGCACACGGGTTAGTTTCAACCAAGATGAATATTTAGACAAAAAGTCCCATTCCGAAGGGGCGACTGTTGCACTAAGTACACTAAGAGGAGTTTCTTTAATTTCGTCCGTGGGAGTGAGTTCAGACGGCGAAAAACATGAGGGGGGCCAGTTGGCCGCAGGGAGCTGTAACCATGGTGGGCCAGTCCACCATAAGGGATGGTCAATGAGAGATGAGGCTAGAATTCCTCGTGAGGCACAATCAGCGGGGTTTTCCGTCCCTTTTATGTGCCGCCACTGATAACTGGGAATGATTTCTTGCACTTGGGCTACACGATTAGCCACAAAGGTCTTTAGTCTGTATGGAGGGGTTTGTAGCCAAGTAAGAACTACAGATGAGTCACTCCACAATACAGTGGTATTCGTAGTAAGAGAGTTAAATTGTTTTTCACAATAATGCACTAGTTTTGATAAGAGGTGAGCTGCACACAATTCCAAGCGGGGTAAAGTTACCTTTTTTAACGGGGCAACACGAGTCTTAGACAATATTTGTTTCACAATGACTGTTTTGTCACTAGATTCACACCGGAAATACACTACCGCGGCATAACCGCATTCCGATGCATCACAGAAACCGTGAAGCTCGATATCAGAGGAGTGAGCGAGCGGAAATGCTCGGGGGATCTTAATTTGACCGAGGTGGTCTTTAGTGTTACTAGTGAACACATGCCACTTATGTGCGAGATCAGAAGGGAGATGGTCGTCCCAATCAAGACCTTGAGTCCATAGTAATTGCATGAAGCATTTTGCTACCATGATTAATGGGGACAAAAATCCGCAGGGGTCATATAGTTTGGCAATAAAGCTGAGCACGGAGCGCTTAGTCAGCTTTTCAGACGGGGGGTTGAAAGCGTAACAGAAACAGTCTTCTTCAGGAGACCAATGGAGACCTAGGATGGAGTACTGGGGAAGCTGAGCGTCTTGCAGGAAACTTGGAGTCTCTAGATGTTCCGAAGGAAATTTTTCTAGAAGAGCAGAGGAGTTGGAGGCCCACTTGCGAAGTTCAAAGCCACCACGATGTAGAAGTTGGATAAGTTGGTCCTGTAGTTCAAGAGCAGCCTCAACGGAGTCAGCACCCGTGATAATGTCGTCCACGTAGGTGTGATGACGTAGAGAGTGAGAAGCCTGAGGGAAGGCATCACCTTCGTCTTCCGCTAACTGCATTAAAGTTTTAATAGCAAGGTAGGGGGAGCTGTTCATGCCGTAGGTGACGGTAGTAAGTTGAAACGTAGAGATTTCCTTTGAAGGGTCGTCACGCCACAGAATCAGTTGAAACTTTTGATCGTCAGGGTGCACTTGTATTTGGCGGTACATTTGCCGAATGTCACATGAAAACACAATTTTATGAGAGCGGAAGTTCAAAATTACGTCACAAATGTCAGTTTGTAATTTACGTCCTGTCAAAAGAATATCGTTTAAGGAGTGACCGGAACTGGTTTTGCTACTGGCGTCAAACACTGTCCTTAAATTGGTCGTGCTAGAGTCCTTCAGTACCCCATGATGAGGTAGGAAGTAGTGTGGGTGTATGTCTTCAACAAAATCTAGTTTTGTCATATGGCCGAGAGTTTGATATTCAGACATGAACGTCTTATACAAGTGTGAAAAATGGGGTTGAGCTTTAAATTTCTGCTCAATAGACAACAAGCGCTTTTCAGCAATGGGCCTAGATTGGTCTAGAATGGAGGGGTCCGTCTTGAACGGAAGTCGCACAACATAACGACCTGATTGATCACGAGAGTGTGATTTTTTATAGTATTCATCACAAAGAAGCTCTTCCTGTGACTTAACCTGGAAGTGAGGGGGTTCCTCCTGTTGCCAAAAACGTTGTAGGGAAGAGTGTAGTGAATTATCACTAACAGAGAGAAGAGAGATCGCAAAACCTGACACGGGTTCCGAGTTAGTTGCACAGGGAGCTTTACCCATCAGAATAAAGCCAAGATGAGTACCTATCACATGAGGCATGTGCGTGCCGAGGGAGTAACTTTCATGAGTCCAGAGGAGGGGTAGCAGAGAACTACCTATAAGCACGTCAATTCCACCAGGCAAGTGAAAAGTAGGATCAGCTAGAACATAGGGCTTGATTTTTGTTAGCACTTCCGGTGATATAGGGGAGCGAGGTAAGTCGACGGAAATCTTATCAAGAATATGGAATTGATGGTCAGTGGCTATTACTCGACCTGAGAGAGTTTCAAGATTCAAGTAAGTTG